ATAACATCAACGGCCAAAATACCTCCGTCACACGAAATAAAAGACCGACTGTTCATTAAACATCCTCTCTATTACTTTAATCTCACTCATCATAGCACGCCACGTGTCATATTCCAACCGTTTGTGGCCGTTGGATTATAACCATTTTCAGAATTACAGAATTCCCATTACCTTGACTTGTTTTTTATCGTTAAAAAAATAAAATAAAATAAAAATTCATTCTTTCTGTCCTCATCTTCTTCTTCTCTCTCTTGCCCTCGCTAAGTAACTTCGTCTTCACTCGTCGATTTCACCGGAACCCTAGCTCGATCGTCCGGAGAATTCAAGTTTCCGGTGAGTGTCTCACTTTATGATTAGTCTGCGACCAATTGGTACTTCTTTAATGTAGTTTGGTTAATTTGTGTTGTTTTGTTTTTAGCTAAGTTGTTGATACTGGTGTCGTTAATGTTGTGGTTTTCGGATTTTTTTGTTGTGTGAGCAGTAGATGAGCGTACGATTGGGGAGGAGTTGAGATCAAACTGACAGGATTTCGTCACCGAATGGAGGGAGGTAGCGTCTCTAGACTTACTTGCTCTGGTACTGGTCGTTTCCTACTTGGTTCTTAAATAAAAAAGTTGGGTACTTTTTCTTGCTGTGTAATTAGAGCTCCAAAGGGTATGTTTTGGAATTGGTGAGTTTAATTTTGGTAATAGTCTTGTCTTTTTTTCTTTGTTTGAAATTGATTGCTCTAATTAAGGAATGCAGTTTATGGTTCTGTTTTGTGGTTTGGAACTAATTTATACACTTCTTGCTTAAGTAGTTTGAACTAGTTTTATTAAACTTTGCTGGTAGCTGGCTTATGCTTTGGACTCTTGTCCAATTTGAGCGGTATTCTTCCTTATAATAATGAGCTAGGTTTTTTGCATGATCCTTTTCTCTTTTTTTCTTTTTTCTTGTGATTAATTCGCACTTGAATATTTAGTTGTGTTTAAGCTAGGGTTTTGTGTGTGATATTATGTCTAACCAGTAGGCCTTTCTTTTTGGTGGAGTAAAAGGCAGTAATTTCCTTTTTATATACCTATAATTGGATTTTAATGACTGAAATTGATTCAAGATGGGGTATCTTCATTAAGTCCAACTGTTAATGCTGGATAAGATTGTGCTACTGTCACTCCCTGTGAGACATAGCTTTTAGGTTCTATCCCCTTGTTCTGTCTGTTTTTTGGTGTTTTTCTCATGTATGTTCATGAACAAAGAGACCTTAAGCATGGTTCCAATTTTAATTGATTTTCCATGCTTGCAGGTTTTTTAGTTATCTTTCATTCTATAATTAATTCAAATGTCTTATTTTACTTGCATTTAAAAGAATTTATCTAAACGTATTAGAGGTTGTGTGTTGTGTGTGTTAATATTGTTCATCCCGTAAATTCAGGATCTACTTTTAATATTTCAAGACATCCAAGTTATATATTGATCTTAAGGTTTTTAGGGATTAAATTGATTATGCTATGCCTTGTTTGGATGATATATGTGGATTTTTTCTTCTTTTTCCATGTAGCAGGATACTGTTAGATGTTGGAGGCTTGAATTGTTGATCTGTGTAATTATTTGTACCAGAATCCAATCATACCTTTTCTCCCTCTAACCGTTCAATATTGTAGGGATATACTCATGGATTATGATGACAATGATTTCCAAAGCCAGAATCTTCAATTAGCTGGTGAAGGAAGCAATAAGTTTCCTCCTGTTTTACGGCCATATGCCCTTTCAAAGTTTGATTTTGAAGATGGCCTCCATGGGCATTTAAGATTTGATAGCTTGGTTGAAACTGAAGTTTTTCTTGGCATTGAGAGTAACGAAGATAACCAGTGGATTGAGGATTTTTCGCGGGCGAGTAGTGAGATAGGATTTAATACAAGTGCAGCAGAATCTTGTTCAATTCCAAGGCGCAACAATGTTTGGTCTGAGGCTACTTCCTCAGAGTCAGTTGAAATGCTCTTAAAATCTGTTGGGCAGGACGACATTATTCCTAGTCAGACTGTCACTAGGGAGTCAGATGCCAGTGATGAACTGGGTTGCATGATAAAGCAGATGGAGCCTAGTTTGAAGCATGAACACAGTAGTAGTCCTTCTAAAGTGGAGGATGTAACAGGTTTAAATCCCACATTACCAGCTGAGATTCCAGAAGCAAGTTCAGGCTTAAAGGATGATGTAGGAGCATGGAAGCCTCAAATTGAAGCTGCATCAAAAGCTGAGGCAGGAAATTCTGTTGATGGAGGTTTGAATGGTCCAAGTACTGGCAGTGAAAATGCCAACACAGCTGTGACCGAGGTGAGTGAGCCAGTGGCTGGTGAGCATTTTGCCATTCATCAAAAGGAAGTAAGTACTTTTGCTGATGAATCACTGGATATCAGCAGAAAGGAAGAGAGTTTTGCATCATCTCAAGTTGTTACTACCGTTTCGCCTATGAAAAATGCCAGTGTTGTGTTCGATAATCAAGATGGCATGTGTCTGAAAAATGATGTTGGTGATAAAGGGACAGACAGTTTAGAGAAGGATTTTAAGAGAGGGGAAAATTTTCAAGAAGGTCAAGGGATTCAAATTGATCATCAGAATTTGGATGAACATTTGGTTTCTATAGATACTTCTCACATAGATAACAGTTCAGCCTCGGAGATGGAATTTAAGGAAGATGGACATATGATTAAAACTAATGCCATTGTTGACCCTTCTACGACAGTGGTGAAAGAGGATTCTGACTTACAAATGGTGGAAGGATGCAGTAAGGCTGTACTTTTGGGCATTCCTGCCCAGGTCTCCCAATCAGATGACCTTTTATTGTCTAAGAATTCAGTTATTGGCGATCATTCTGCAGGAGATTTACAAGATGCAGCACCAATCCCCTTTGTAGATTATACTGGCCTAAAGGGGCAGGATGGTGAGATCAGCAAAAATAATATTGGAATCTCTACCAGTCGGGAGTCGAAGATCGACTCAATGGTGCAAATTACATGTAATCAGAGCGGTGTTCCGGAGACTGAGCAACTTTTAGAAAGTAGTGGCCAATTGGATAAAAAATGCTTAACAGGTAAGTCTGAGGAATGTTTCTTGTCCCTAGATGATGATAGAGTTTCTAAAGGTTATGGTGATGGAAAGAATTATGAGGGAGATGTTTCCAGGTTGAATGTTGTTTGTTCTTCAGTTACATTGACTATGACTCAAACAAGTACAACTTTTGAAAGTAGTCATGATACTTCAGGATCTTGTGGAGAAGAATCTACAAAAATAAGTGAGGAAAATACTGTATCTATCAATACTAATGCTTATAGCTGTGACCAGAGAACTTTTGTTCATGCAAAGCAGTGCATAGAGTTGCCAATTGACCATAGTAATACTGAGTGTGGAGATAGTGGATCACTAGTTATAGATAAGAAGGTCTGCTCCACATCCCTTGTTGGTTGTAACATTGGAAATACATCACTTTCAAAGTTGCAATCTAATGTTGTTTCTGGCAATGATTCAGGTATTGTGAACTAATCTACCATTGATTCTGATGCAGCATGTTCAATTGTTGCTTTCTTCCTCCCTCCGTCCCTCCCTCACTCCCTTTCTTTTATTTCTATTTCACTGCATCACTTGCTACCTGTCATGTTCAAAGTGCTAATGCAGTGTTGTGTGGCATGATAGATGGCGTTCCATTGCCTTCTGCTAAGGGTGGTCTTACAGATGCAGTTGATAAGCAGGAGGTTCAAGTCTCCCTCATGCCGATGGTGCTGCCTCGTGCTGATGAGGAGGAAGTGTCATTGAACCCAACAATTTCTGTGAAAGGAAGTCTATCAAATCTTAAATCGCCTGAAGAGAGAACTGAGTCACATCCAATTCCTGAATCTGGGGAAGCTGCTCCTTGTGATGCTGGCAATGAGTTTACCTGCAAGGAAGTTGATAAGTCCTTGTCCGTGGTAGATGTCTCTAGTTCTGTGAGCCAAACTGACCTCCAGGTAGTCCTGCATCCTGCAGTCACTCAGGAGTGCAGCAAGGAAATGGAAATATCTACAAATTTCTCTGTTTCAACAGTGAGTGAGATTGGAAGAGGTGAAGGAAAGGTTGTCTCTGAAAAGCAAGAGGAAGGAAACAATGAAGGAAATCATGGAAGTGCATCTTCAAAAGTTACAGGTGATCTTCAGTCCTCTGCTCTTACAGAGAGAGTTATTTAAATGGTGTGATTGATCCTCTGTATGTTATTTGTAATTGGATTGCTGTCTCATTGCAGTCCCTCATGAAAACTATTGCTTTTATTTAGTCATTTATTGCTTGAAATTCCTGATTATCCTAGTGGGTTTTCTTTACCTTATTAGCAATTAGTTGCATTTGATTTCTAATAAAATATTTTGGAAATCCATTTTTTCTTGCAGACCTGTCAGAAATTGGAAATCTGTCCAAAGTTATATATATCTATATTTTTTTTTTCCTGTAGACTAATTTCTTTAACAGTGGATTTCCATCAAATTAACAATTGCAACTAAATTTTTTACCCAGATTCTGAACTCAAACTGAGGAATGAAGAGATTTTGGACAATCAAGTTCCCTCATCTAATGATACTGGACAAGATGGTGGGAAGGATAATGAGGTTGTATCAATTTCTGGAGATAAGGGTAGTAGCCAGATTGCCATTGCAAGCACTGACAGTGAGTCATTTAGCATCTCATCTTGCTTTTAAATAAGATAATTCTGTTTCTGAACTGCTCTTTTTATGTAAATCTCTCTAGATCTGTTATTTGTTCCAAGAAAACACCAGTTTTATTTGGTAGGCTGGAAGAATGACTTACCCTGGGGGAGGGGGTTTAATTGGATTGGATAGATTTTATGGTTGTTTTGGTTATTCACGTTATACACCTTTTTGTCTACTTGCTAAATCCTCAATGTTGTCTGTATGCCTGGGGTAATTTATTATCTGTTCATATGTTTAGTTGTCACAAAAAGTGAATTTCTTATACTTATTGGAAGATGTGCACTTCCTGCAAGACAATTGCATGCTTGGCCATCAGAGTTCTTTAATTCTTTTTTTCTTTAGGGTAGCAATGCTGAAGTCTTCCCACTTCTTCCTGTTTCCCACCCCTCTTCTTGTCTGTTTCCTATATCTTAATATCTTATGGCAGGCAATGGTTTAAAACCTCGTAACTGTACCTTTATTATTGTCCCTCTTTCCAAATCTCAAACTAAGTTTAATGCAGTGGAGGCTGGGTGTAGTTCGCCAATTGTCATCAGAACTTCTGAGCCTTCTCAGAGTGAAGCTGAAAAGGAGAGAGTCAAAGGATCCACAGATCAGAATGGTCTTGCATCGAAAGTCGTAAATGGGATTTCTATGGATCCCAAAGGAAATGCTAATGATACATCGGCAGGTGACCGGAGTTTCACCTTTGAGGTCCCTCCATTGGTGGAATTGTCTGGAAAGGAAACTGGCAAGAATTGGCAACCCTTCCCATCCACACATTCGGTAAATGCTATTGTTTCTCAAAATTATTATTATTATTATTTTTATGGTTATGTTCATAGAAGTTTTTATCCTCCAATTTCTTGGTCTTTTTCTACCAGCCCCTAATTTGGCAATTTGACCCTACTATGGAGGCAAAAAATATAAAAAAATATAAAATAAAAATAAAAACCCTGCTTGCTACATTCTTATCGTGTGTCTTTTGTCTTGTCGTTATAGGTAAAGCAGAGTGTGGGGAGATCTCCTTCAACTTCTAGCATAAGCCAAGTTGATATCAAGACTGCTCAAGATGCATCTCATGAAAATCTTAAGGCATCTGGTAAGGAGATTGTACGTCGTGGTCGTGGTTCCAAAAGTTCTTCTGAACGTAAAACTAGAAGAACATCGAGTAAAAGCACAGGAAAAGAAACTGCTAAAAAGGCAACTCCTGTTAAGGAAACAACACCTTCAAGGCAATCTGAGCGACGTGACAGAACAGGCAATGCATCCCTGATTTCGTCTGGAATTTGCCAGCTCTCGCATTCCAATGAGATTTCACACTATGGACATATTGAAGGCAGTAATATAAAACCATTTGGTGTTCTTTCTTCTTCTGTATCCAGTCTGCCTGATCTAAATACTGCAGCTTCTTCGTCTGCATTGTTTCATCAGCCTTTTACAGATTTACAGCAAGTTCAACTACGTGCCCAAATCTTTGTTTATGGAGCTCTTATGTGAGTCCTGCACTTTTAATTGTATGTTTTGTTTATTTATTGTATTAGTAAAATTTTGGGATAAAAATCAGCAGGATTGAAATTCTGTTCTGTAAATTTATTTTCAGTGCTTTTGAATGTGTTTTGATGTCATTGACTTGTGATTACTTGAGCACGACTGCCTAACTATTTGAAAAAAATTGTTGCAGTCAAGGAATAGCACCTGATGAGGCATGCATGATGTCAGCATTTGGGGGACCTGGTTAGGTTTTCTCATCTTATATATGTTATATTAATCTTTGGGTTGTGTTACAAATGTGGTCATTTTCTTGCTCTTCGTGTAGATGGTGGAAAGAGCTTATGGGAGAAGAACTGGCGTGCATGTATGGGGAGATTGCATGGTCAAAAATCCCATCCCATTAATCAAGAAACTCCTTCGCAGTCACAATTAGGTATTTCTTTGATTTGAGGACACTTGGCTACTCTTCTTGATTTAACTTCTATGACCTTGTGTAATGATTGATATCTCAGGCGCCAAAACTGATCAATCTATCAAACAAAATTCTCTTCAAAATAAGGTTACCTCTTCAACTGCTAGTCGAGCAACCAGCAAAAGTACTCTGACAGCGACTCTAAACCCGGTCATACCCCTTTCATCACCATTGTGGAGTGTTTCAACCCCTTCTTGTGAGGCTGTTCAATCTACTGGTGTGCCAAGAGGTGCAGTTATGGATTATCAGCCAATGCTTTCCTCATTGCATCCTCATCAAACTCCTCCAATCAGAAATTTTGTCAATGCTCCCTGGGTTTCCCAGTCCCCTTTTCGTGCTCCCTGGGTTCCACAGGCTACTGCATTTGACACTAGTGCTCGTTTTTCTGTTCTGCCCATCACTGAACCAGTTAACTTGACACCTGCAAGAGAATCATCAGGACCTCATTCTTCTGGGGCAAAGCAGGTTTCTCCAGTTCCTGTGGTTCAGAGTGGTAGCCCTGCAAATGTTTTGGCAGGAGCTCCTCTACTTGACACTAAGAAGGCAATAGTAGCCCCTGGTCAACAATCTGCTGAACCTAAGTCTAGGAAAAGAAAGAAGATTCCTGTTCCTGAGGAGCCTGGACAGGTTATGTTGAAGTCTCAATCTCAAACAGCAACTCACTCTGTACCTGTTTCAACTAGTAGCATCTGTGAAGCTGTTGCCATCACTATTCCCAAAACCATTGCATCCAAATCCTCCACTGAAAATGTCATTATGCCTGTATCTCCTACAATTACTCCTGTTCACCTACAAAAAATTGATCGGGATGCAGGTCAAAAGGCTACTTTGTCCGAAGAGACCCATGGCAAACTTAAGGAGTCTCAGCTACAGGCAGTGAATGCTGCTGCTCTTGCTTCTGCTGCCATTGACCACAGTCAAGAAATATGGAATGAATTGAACAAACACAAAAATTCTGGTTTTGCTGTTGATATTGAAACTAAGTTAACATCTGCTGCTATTGCAATTGCCGCAGCAGCTGCTGTTGCAAAGGCAGCAGCTGCAGCTGCCAATGTTGCATCAAATGCTGCCTTGCAAGCAAAGCTGATGGCTGATGAAGCATTGGTTTCAATTGGTAGCAGAAATTCTGTTCAAAGTAATGCAATATCTTCTGGCAGCGTGAAGAATTTGGGCCAGGCTACTTCTGCATCCATCATGAATGCTGAAGATGCTACAAATGGTTCTAATTCTATTATTGTTGCTGCAAAGGAGGCTGCTAGGAGGAAGGTAGAAGCTGCTTCAGCCGCCTCAAAGCATGCTGAAAACATGGCTGCTGTTGTCAAAGCAGCAGAGCTGGCAGCAGAAGCTGTTTCACAATCTGGAACAATTGTGGCTATGGGTGAACCTTTCTCCTTGAGTGAATTGGTAGAAGCTGGTCCAGATGGTTATTGGAGAGTACAAAAAGTGTCTTCTGCAAAAGTCATGAAGTCAAATGATGTGAATAGGGAGCAGTTGGGCAGAGCTGGCCATGAAGGTCGTGGTGTCTCTGGTGCACATTCAAAGGAGGTTTCATTGGAGAAGGAAACTCAGAGTGCTAACCATGGTATATCACTGTCTCTAATAAATTCATGTAGGAAGTCTATAGACCATGATATGTTGATAGATGGCTTTTCAGGTTCTTCTGCAATAAGTGGGAAAGATAAAAGGCAAAAGGGCCGTAGAGCTATGGATTTAGCTAAAACCATGGGGGCAGTTCCAGAAACCGAGAATAGTTTGAGATCATCTTCCATCACCACTCAAACTGAGTATGAGAAGGAAGTGGAGACTTTAAAAGAAATGAACATTGGGGAGGGTTCTGTTGTAGAGGTTTGTAACTTCGCTTGAAATATTAACTTATACTGATATGTGGGGACAAAAGCTATGAAGCTTGATTCCTTATCTAGCTGCTGCCATTATAGATTGTGTTGAGTTTCTATGTTGATAATTTCTTTTCTCACTTTTTATCAGCAGTTTTTGCTTTATAACTACATATAAATGCAGTTTTGTGGTCTGATACAAGTTTTATGATTTTGTTGTATTTGGATATCAATTTTTTAATTTATGTTCTTTCTTAAAAGGTATTAAGAGTTGGAGGTGGATCAAAAGTAGCCTGGTTCTTGGCAACTGTTCTAAGTTTGAGTGATGGAAAAGCATGTGTGCGTTACCATGAACTTCAATCAGAAGATGGTAAGCTATTACATTAAAAGTTGGCTTTTGTTTGAACTCTGAAGAAATTAACTTGATTTTGAGCTAGAAATATGAGTTGGAAATACTTTTTCTGAGTTTCTAGATCACAGTGGATTGTAGGATGCAAATTTACTTGTGCATTATCATCATATAATTATAAGTATTACTTACGTGATTTATATGTGGTTCTGTTCCTTGAGAATGTTATTGCACGTTCTCTGTGCCAAGTAATGCATTTTACTGTCTGTTGGGTGCATGTGTGTCTCAAATCTTTGTGGTGATATGGCTGATTTTGGCAACATAACAGCACATTATGGTTATCAAAATAGTAAGTCATGGTTCACCCATTTATTTGAGATTAGAAAGGAAGAAGAGTGGAAAGAACAAAATGAGAAAGGAATGGTGAGTTGGTGACCTTGCGATAAAAGCCTGTCAGTAACATTGCACAGACAATATTTCCATGTCTTGTATGTATTACTCTTTGCATTGTGGAGACAGAAAGAAACTCACCATTGGATGCACCATAACTAGGAATGTTGTTACTCTCTAAATTTTGTTGTCCAGTAACATTGCTTATTGCAACCATTCCTTTTTTATGATAATCTTCGAATTAGAGCGTTCCTGAAAAGAGAGCAAATAATATAAGTTTTGCCTAATGCATGTGTTCACTGATTGATCCTTCACTGTTAACCTTCCTTTCTGTCATATGTTAGATGGAGATAAGCTAAAAGAATGGGTGGAACTTAAAGGAGAGGGAGAGAATGCACCCAGAATACGTGTTGCTCGTCCAATTACTGCTATGCCATTTGAGGGAACAAGAAAAAGACGCAGGGCAGCCATGGGAGACTATAATTGGGCTATTGGAGACCAGGTTGATGCATGGATGCAGGATAGGTATTTATGTCTTTTCACCTGCTCTTGCCTTTTCCTAAGACGCATTGGGACCAAATCAGTTCAAACATTATAGGACACCTGAAATATATATATATATATATATATATATAATAAGTGAAAAATGCTGGTGGAAATTTTGTTAATGATTTTATTAGTGAGAAAATGTAATATCATGTGTCCGTATGATCAAGCAATTGTGCCACACCACAAGCAATAGTATCTAGTAGATTGCTTCAATCCTTTTAAAAAAAATTCTGTAACTTGAAACAGTTCTCATTTTTAGCGTGATATAAATTGCTGACCTAATCATTGTACATAATTGTTGTCTCAAGACATTTGTGGAATAGTTGTCTGTTGAAAAAATCAAAGAAAACCATAAACTAGTTTTCACCTAGTTATGGATGAACCCTATTCATATAACCAAAAAATCTGTAGAAACAGTGATTGAAATTGTGTAGTGTTATCTTTGGAAATAATACATATGATCATGTTTCTGCAATCATCTATCTGCATTTATTTCCTATTACTTGGTAAATCCTGCCCTATAGCTGGCATTATCTGACCCTTTTTTGTGTTGATTTTGTTTTCTAGCTGGAGGGAAGGAGTTATCACTGAAAAGAACAAGAAAGATGAGACATCCTTGACTGTTAATTTTCCTGGTATGTGTGATTCAACATATCTTATTTGCCACCTTCTTGGTTGCTTTGTGCTCAGCAGTGTATGGGGAACCCATGTTTCAAAAGTAGGTAATTATATGATTCTAATTGCAGTTCAAGGAGAAACTTCCGTTGTCAAAGGCTGGCATCTTCGTCCTTCTCAGATATGGAAGGATGGTAATTGGGTTGGATGGTCTAGTTCTGTGGATAACAATTTCTCTACCCATGAGGTGCTATGCCTGCTTGTTCTTGTAGTTGATGCTACTCTGATGATAACCTGTAAACTTTCAACTACTCCGTACTAAATCGTTAATCTTTTGGTCAGGGTGATTCTCCACAGGAAAAGAAACAAAGGTTAGGCAGTCCTCATGTTGAAGCAAGAGGGAAAGATAAGGTTTCAAAAGGTACTGAAGTTATAGAATCTGGGAAACCTGATGACACAAGATTGCTGGATCTAGCTGCAAGTGATAGGATATTTAATATTGGTAAGAACACCAGAGATGATAGTAAAACTGATTCGCTCAGAATGGTACGTACTGGTCTGCAGAAGGAAGGATCTAGAGTAATTTTTGGCATCCCTAAGCCAGGAAAGAAGAGAAAATTTATGGAAGTAAGCAAACATTATGTTTCAGATCAGAGCAAAAAGGATATTGAAACAAATGACTCAGTTAAGTTTGCAAAATACTTAATGCCTCAAGGATCAGGACCCCGCGCAGCAAAAATTAATCCTAAAAGTGATCCAAAGGAAAAGCAAATGGCTGTTTCCAATCCCAAGGTTCTCAAGTCTGGAAAACCCCCGAGTATTTCTAGCAGAACCATATCTAAAAAGGATAACTTCTCCAATGCATCTATTTCTGAAACTGATGAAGATGATGCCACAGATGTGTCAAAATCCAAGGATTCCGCAAGTCATGATGACAATGCTTCTGGAAAGCATAACATGATGGAGTTTAGATCGTTTTCAAGCTCTGAGGGAGCAGCAGAAGGCCCAATTTTGTTTTCTTCAGCTGGTGTTTCATCCGATGCTTCTGCCTCAAAGAAAACATCCACATCAAATGCCAAAGCCGAAAGGATGAGTAAAGGGAAACTTGCACCCGCTGCTGGAAAGTCGGCTAAAATTGATGAGGACAAAGCCTCCAATGGTAATTCTACAAAACCAACTTCTGAAGTTGTTGAGCCCCGTAGATCTAATCGCAGGATTCAGCCAACATCACGGGTGAGTAATGTATATATTTGTAGTATAGCTAATATACTGAAACCCTGTGTTTGTGTTTCTGATATTGCATTTTTTATTCCTATTTTATAGTTTCTAGTTTTATGCAATCAGGTTTCATTGAATGTTTGCATCCATTTCTGTGGCCTAATTTTTTATAGTCTGTGCTATGAACTTAACTCCCTCGCTTCTGAATCTGGTCTCAGTAGATGACCTGCATTTGCTATACTTCCATCCATTGAACTAAATTTAAATTTTGGGCATCTCTACCTTTCACTAAGTAAATTCTTTCCTGTTCAAAAATAATAGTAGACACTATAATGTCCAATATTTCTCTTGAGACACTGGTTCAACCTTTTAATCCCGTTTTCTTGGATTGCTACCTTTTGTAGAGCCCTTTGACTATATGCTCTAAAATTTCATCTTGTTGCTCACAGCTATTAGAAGGGCTTCAGAGTTCGTTGATAATCTCAAAAATTCCTTCTGTTTCACATGATAAAGGTCATAGAACTCAGAGCAGAAATGCTAAAAGGTGGCAATCTCACACTTTCAAATCAATTTATACTATTTCTTAGTTTTGCCTCTGAATGGGTGTGATACTTAATGCTTGATTACAACAGGGAATAACAATGATGAGACAACTCTACCGCAGCTACACGGATCCAGTCAAAGGAAAACTCGGTGGTTACTGGATGTTCAACATAGCATTTTGTGTATATTTATGATAGAGGAGAAAGCTAGGAATGAAAAATTGTTTAGTTGGGTTTCACTTTAAAGAGATCAAGTAGTTGATGTTTATACTGATTTTTAGATCTTAACAATCATAATCTGATCTCTCTAGGCCCTTTTGCTACTAGGTTGTAAATGGGAAAAACTTACATTTAGTTTGGCTTTGAATATTTGTAGAGAAGCATTGCAATTTGTCAACAATGTATTTCCTGGCTCCTCACCAATCCCACTAATATTCTACCAACTACCCATTACCATGGAGAAAAGCAAGCAATTTTCTCTCCTTTTCCTGTAAGTCGGTAATTTAATGTGAGGTTAATATAGCTTAAGCAGTTCTCTCAATTTTTTTTAAAAGCTCAACTTGTCATGTGGTTAATATTTTTAAAAATTAATTGTTAAATTGGAAGATTTTATTTATATAAATTATGGGTGTTAATTTTTATATTAATTTAATATTTATAATTTTTTTAATTAAAAATTTTATTTATTGGTATATTTAACAACATTAAATTTTATATAATTAATAAATTAATTAGATTATTAAATTAATTTAAAACTTTTATATGAATAAAATTTTTAATTTAATGATTATTTATTAAAAATTAATAATATTATAATTATTTATATATTATATTATAAGATTATAATGTTAATATATCATTTTTATTTGGCAATATTAGTTAAAATATAAAGTTTTAGGTAAATCTTTGAAAATTTAAGACAAAACACTTCCCATTTTATATCTATCTTAGAAAAATTAACCGGCCTGCAAGCATCTTTTGATAACGTACACAAGGAAATGCTTTTTTCCTTATGAAACATTTTTGCTAATTTACACAGTTAGCTAAATGACTTAAAAACACTTGAATACACTAAAATATTGTCAAAGTCACCACGTGATCTGGATACCTATATTATAACTAGCAAAAATACTATGAACAGTTGCAGCTCACTGAAGTCCACCACTGTACAGATCCATCCATCACTGGAACCTTAACAATTGAAATGAGAGCAGAAGCCATCTCTGGGTATGCTTCATCTCTAACGGTATGGTTGCAAAAGTTCTCTACTGCCATGATGAAAATAAGCATCCGAGACAAAAAGGCACCACCATCACTATAGATCAATACCAACAGGCAAGGGACATTTTTGGTTACTCACTCTTTATTTATCTGTTAGTCTGGAAATTTTACTCTTCATCATTCTCTCCTAAAGATACTGGTTTTTTCCCACATTTTTCTTCCTCAATCTTCGATTCTAAACATGATTCCCTCCTAATTGTTCTCCACTTCTGCTTGTTTGAACATCACTGATAGGTTTCTGGCAGATACAAGAGTATGGATATTCATGAAACTCACCCCTTCCTGGTCTCATCTCATCTGGCTCTCCCATGAATCCTCTCTGGCTTATTTTCACTTTTCTGGAAAAAGTATCCCAATCCATCTTGTCCCTTGCCATGAATAAAGCACTGAGCTTCTTAGCATTTGGCTTGATGGTCCTCTTGTGGCCCATGTACCTCCTTTGATCCAGGAAAATGTCATGAACAAATAATTAGTATGGAATCAACAGATTATACCTTTGATATTTATTGTCAGCAATTAATTGAATAGGTCTCCACTCTCCCTTCTTGTGAAGGGAATACTCAAAGCACAGTAGTAAAGAACCATGCTAATTTAACATACATAAAGGTGATGCAAGAAATAACTAGAATTCTCACCTTCGACCTGCAAGAATCTTGGCCATGTTCCCATTATTATTTGTGACAAAAACGTCACTCTCATCACAGACAATGTAGTCAATGGCAGCAAGGCGTGAAGAGTATGGAAGAAAAGATTTCAGCTCTTCATTAGCAAGTATCTCTTTTGTATAGAAGTTTGGAAAGAGTTCTCTCAGAGGCCGCAGAGTATCATCTCCTCCATATATTTCTCCAGATGCAACATAGAGATATGTGTCATTTGCAAAACCAAGTCCCCGCAGCATCAATCCTACCTCATGAGGGGTAAGTGGACATTTACCTCGTTTTCTTTCCTCATCGGCACTTAGATCCTGCATATATGTGAGATAAACTCAATATTTTACTCAAAACAACTGGTGGAGAGTCACATGTAGACATCAATTTTTCCAATATTTTTACTTTTCGAGTATAAAAGACAAAAAGTGTTTCAGCATCCTGTTATGTGTGACCAAAAAATAATTCAGGTCATAAAGGATGGCAATCTCACAGGTAATGTTTCCCATCGTTTTCGTATCTCTCCAAGCTCATGTCTCTCCTTGTCACCCCCACCAAAGTAACATCCAGAAAACGCTAGCATGTCAGGTTCAAATCTGTAAGTAGAAGAGGTAGAACCACATATAAGAAAATCAAAAATGTCTTCATGAAATTCTATCATAAAGGAACACAGAAAATTATTCAATATCTGGTTCGAAACTGTAATCAAAAGAGTTTTAACAACATTTAGGGAAATAAAAAGAAAGTCTCTGATGAAGTTCAATCATACATGACATGTTTGTCTGTAGATGTGCATGTCTGTAGTAAAATGCATTTACACCCATAGGGATGTAGCATGGCAGCTAATATCTTTAATAGAGGATTTCTCTCAAATCAAACTTTGGACACTTCCTATATAAAGACAATAAAAATTTTTTAACCTGAATCCCCAAAATTTTGGAGGTGTGGCTCCTGAAAGGAGAAATTACATAGATATTTGATCTATAGGATTAGAGGGCATAACCCAACAGAAGAAGAAAAGACTTACGTAGAAGAAAACAAAAAAAATAAAAATAAAAAAACCCTTAAGGATGCTGTGTTTTATGCAGATCTGGCTTGCATGCATGTTAAACATTTTCCCAGTCCAGTTAAACATATTTAGTAATTGGGACAAACCTCAAATGGACTGCAATAAAACGGTTTGCCATCTGACGCATTCTCATGACAAGCTTCTGTCCAAGTTTTTCTATGGGTTTTGTAAACCTCAAAGCATGGTAATTAACACGGCAACGCAACCTTTGAAGCTCTTCATCAATGTCATTTGCCAGTCTATAATCAAACTTAGTCAGTTGTACAACCTACAAAATTTCCAGTGTCAACTGCCTCACAGCAAATGATCGATGATCAAATCAACTTGCTCAGGAAAAACAAAGTACACGAGACAGCATTTGCTTGCAATAGCTGACTAAAGTCTTGCTGATATTGTAGAATCAAAGCACTTTTTTCATATAATAATAAGTGGGTGATTTATAACTTTATGCAGACAACTGATGAAATTAGATGAACAGAAAATTCAATTATAAAAATAATTTGGAACAAAAATGAAATAGCCAACTACAGAGTTTGCAATGTAGTCTTACATGTCTCCTCAAAAGTATTGGCAGAACTTGATCTAGATAATATTCAGGGGCGGATTTCCTTGGAACACGCATAGTATATGGAGGTTTTTCCATTGATCGCATGAATTTATCAGGAACTCTTTTGACAATGGTAACATCTTTTGCTAGGTAAGAAATGAACCAGTCAACATCAAAAATATTGACAAAGTCACTGCACACCAGATAAAGTAGTCCAATAAAAACAAAATCATGCTGTTAGCTTTAGATGGAGTGAACATAAAATGAGACAATACACATTAGATACCACTGCTGATAAGTTGATTGAACTTACCTATCATCCTTCCAATAGGAATGATGATCCAACTCCGGAACTACTAATGTTGCATTAAGAATCCGAGCAACAACAACAGCATCTGTTATCTGGGTGCAAATAGTTATCGCTCAAGAAATAGCACATTCCACTTTCAGTAGAAATAAAAAATTCAACAGAAAGACTAAAACTTAAGGGTCTGTACATCTACTTACTCCCGTTCTTTGTTGATTCAATCCACCACTGGCTCCAATAAGCAAATAACCATTTGACAACCGCTGAGGTACAGCAGCTAGATATCAAAATTAATTCCAAGATGACAAATACGTGAGAATACGTCATGCTTTGCTTTAATTCAAGGTGTCACAAAAGTAAAAACAGATGATGCAGGACATTTTATGACCAATACAAATGCACCCGCATGCTTTGATGTTTGGAGTCAAAGTTCCCAACTTTGAATTAATTAGATTATTATTATCTTAAGTGACCTAAATAAATATAAATCAATTAAACTTGATAGTTGTTAATATATAATGCTATTTTTTATGCTTTTTTCATGAGCCGGAAGAACCCAGTGGCAATAGCTTCAATTCTAGACAGCCATTACAAGATTCATAAGAAAAGTAGCAAAAATTCAAGCAAAAGAAATTGGCAAAGTATGCAATGCTATGTAGAACTAAGGTGACTTACGAGCAAAATTACGGCCCCTTTGGCTACATCCGTAGAAGTAGCTCGAATATTCAGACTTCCATATATCAATGGGTACGCGACTGATCCCCTCCTACAGCATTTGCACAAATGAAACATAAATTTATAGTAGTTAAACACAGCAACACCAAGAAAAGCAAGAATTTTGAACATTGAAATGTCAGAAAAGGAAAATCCTTGTGGTGAAATTGTTACCAATTTGGAGAAGAAACTCCGTTTCACCAGCCGCTGAGAGTACCACTCGAGATCAGACGCCACGTGACCAGTGAAGAGCGAAATCAAGCCCAAGCAGAAGAGCAAGAAGCCGCACACAACCGTCCAGGAGATCGGCTTCCTCTGCTGCGCCGCTAGCTTGTTGTTGCTACCGCCGCCGTTCTGGTGCTGTAACAGCGCCGCCGCGCTCGCCTTGGCCACGCCCATCAGGGACCACCGGATTCCACCCTCGATCTCATCACTTGCTCACGCCGGAAATGTCATCCCGCAAAAACCGGAACTCTCCGTCGCTACAGTTAAGGTCAGTGAATCGACCAGTAAAGAGTGATGAGTGTGGAGGAGAAGCAGTTGCCAAGGAGTATCACTGTAAATAATGCAAAATGCAGAGACAATTAGGGTTTTTAGTGATCATTCAATCGGAAGCTTTTGAAATGTGCCGGCGACTGTGGAGGTTTTAGGAGGAGCGGTGGAAGATTATTTGGAGATTTCTTTCTGTGATGCCTTTTCCGGTGGGAAGAAAAGAGGGAAACGGAATTTATACGACGCCGTTAGCGGGAATGTTGCTTAAAATAGGGGAATAAATTAATGAAGTGGGTTTCGATTTTTTGACTTTGTAGTTTGTGATTACAAATTGGGAAATATGCGGTCTTGAATTGGAATTAAAAAGGAGTTGGTGTTTCTAAAATGGATAATTTTAGAAGTTGGTGTTTCTAATATGCGGTCTTTAGAAGTAGCTGGATTAGCTTTCCTTGGTAAAATACTATTGATAATTTACTAATTAACCTCTTATTTGAGTGGTAAGAGATCGATTTTTTTAAATAAAATATTAAATTTAAATTTTATGAATAAAAAAATAAATATAAAAAAAATTTTACTTTTACGAGGTTTAACTTGACTTTAAATTAATGAGATTTAATGTAATTTTTTAATATTAAGAGGTTTAATTTTTAAAAAATACTATTCATAATTCTAATAAATAGTTAATAATTGTTGTTTATCAATCAACATGCTAATTTATCTAATTAAACTATAATTACAATCTCATATAACATTTTAATTTGACAATCCTAATATGATATTAAAAAAATGAATACATATAATATTATAAATTGATTCTAAATAAAAAAATGTAAATTATATAATGATATATCATATTATAAATTTATAATATCATATAATATTATAATTATATTATTTTTCATAAAGTTATTCGTTAATATTTTTTTTAAATATTAAAACAAACAACTATTGATTATAATTATTTTCTATTAGTATATATCTTTGAAATTTAAAATCTATGGGATCTTAAATAATTATTTAAAGTCAATGGATGTAAAGATTATAAATTTGAATTCCTTTTTCTTTATCTTTTCATATTTAGAGTTTGACAAACTATTAAAGAGAGATCAACAGATCATGCTTTAAAGGGTTAAATATTACAACTTTATATGCGTTTAGGTCGTCCCAAAGAGTAGCAATTATACCTTTCCAGTTTCCACTATAAAAGCCAACAAATTAGTAGAAACAATGAAATTGGGAGAATTCAAAAGTGGATCCAAAAATAGGGGCAAAAGCAAACACAAGTCACATTCAAATTGAATCAACTTCACTATTTTTAAGCCAATTAAATGTTGAAGTCGCACCTGAGCCTAGAGGCCCACTGGCATTAGCCAGTTTGTTAGGTGCATTCCCCTTTTCTCTGGGTGGGTTTCGAACCCGCCCCGTGTCAAAATATTCAAAAAAAATATTAATTTTTTTTTTACATTTTTTATATATATTAAAAATAATAAATTTTAATATGTATTTTAAACAAACAAATTCATAAAATCCTTTTAAGTTTT